ACATGACATGAAAAAGTTCAAACTGCAATATTTTGTAATATTCTTCTCACCAAATCAGATGTGTGTATGTCTTATACATGTACATTTTTTACTACCTTACCATGACAAATAACTAAATATAGGTGGTCTTATTGGAAAAACAAAACATGGAATACGTACATAACTGTCACGTACATAACTCGATGTCCACATTCATTGTTGATTAAATAACACATACAAGTTAAAATGCGGAATCCAATGTTATCAGTGCTCTTCATTCACCTATATACACCATTACATTGTCATTTTGAAAGTATACAATATGTTTTTGTATATATTCTGGTGCACTGGTATGTACATAACTGCAGGACACCAAACATTTTCCATTTACAGACATCTAAATATTTTTAAAACCATGACCCAGAATGAGAAGATCTGATTGGAAATCAAAGATAAAGTGAAACTAAACATTATAACATTGCATGCTTGTAAATAAATCAATTATTTATACACCATTCTTCAGTTAGTAAGGTTTGAAATTTGCAGGACACCAAAGTTATGTACATATCACAAACATTGTATCACATGTAAATAGAATAAGAAAGTAAAATACTAGGAATTAACTCAACAGAAATTTTAATTATTACATAGATTCTACATCAAGATGAAAAAAAATCATAAGTTTTGCATCCCATTAGTAAAAATCTGGTAACCAATTAGTGCATGTTTTGAATGTAACATTAAAAGTGCTGAAAATAGGCCTTTTTTCATCATAAAATTGCTCTAAAATCTTTAATTTGAACTCAATGAAGCTGAAACCTTGTTTTGAGCTTTCCCAAATGATACTTTGTAATATAAAAATGCTAATTTGTTTCTGGGTCTCATGGTTTTGGATAATTGAACAATTTCCCAGTGTTCAATCTAAGTGTACCCTTGATCTGAGCCTTGCACATTACCTAAGAAAGGTTTGAGGAAAAAATGTGAATTTTCAAAATGTCAGAACTACTATTTTGTATCCGATTTTCTTCATTTTTGCACTGTTCTTAGGGGAAATTTCCTACACTTTCTTTTGAAATTATGCAATCCTGAACTGAATAACGCAGTAGGCTAAAATGAATAGGATCCATGAAATTAATACAGATACAATTTTGCTGTAATTAGTCTTCCAGGTAATTATTCATACATCTCAGTAATAAAGTAATAATAATATGCATACCCTTGCATCATTCGGCAGTGTAAAACAATGCATCCCCCAAGGCTCTATCTTTAAGCCCCTCTGCACTAGTTTGGCCAGGAGGGATTAGACCTCCCAGCATGGTCACTGACAGGTGGTTATCTCATCAACTCAGCTCTCAATTAACATAAGAAAAAGAGGATCATGGGGACCAACATGCACCGCTTAGGAATTGTTTTCTATATAGAGGGAGCAAGTAGCTACAAGTAGTGCAGTGGGGCTTGCCAAGATGATTAAACTGATATAATCCACCCATCCTCTTGAGAGTTTGACATGATGTTGAATTGTACCTTTATTAAGGTGTGATATTTTAAGAAAATAAATGGCTTTCAGATGTAAATATCAAGTAAATAGGAGAGGAATATACATATCTTGCAAAATTCATGCATTTACAAACGTAATTTCTACATCCTTTAAAACTGTTTTTACTGATTTGTGTTCCACTCTTGAAAAAAAATGCATTTTGCGTCATCCCCAAAACTTGGCGGGGATAATGACGTTGTACCTAGCGGCCGTAATTTTGAAGTTCACGAGTGCCGTGTAGTTTTGTGCAAAAAATTGGTACTTTATTTTTGTTATTTTAGACTACTTTCACCAAGTTTTGTAAAATTGACTTTACACATATAATCACCCGACTGTCCTGAATTTCAGGCTTTTAATATGTGTACAAAGCAATAGGGTAATTATGTGGGTGCTAAAGTATGACGCCACAGATTTCCGTTCACAAAAACAATGTAATTCCATGGCATTAAGTACATGCTCGTCGAGTCAGTTTGATGTCGTTTCCTTCACAAAATATGAGGATCTGTCTGCCTAAAATACTGGCACTAACCCCTCGCATATAATCAGTTCACATCGCGTCAAAAACAGTGAAATAAGTACTCCAATGACATGACCCAGAAGTACGCAATTTCATGGGCATGCGCAAAATGTAACTGAACTTCCTTTATTTTATTGAAATACTTTCATAGTCCTTTAAAGGAACTGTAGCCCTTTTGCATTAACTCTTTGTTTGCTTTGTTCGCCGATTTGCACGGACGTAGGCGTGCCAACTTCGCATTTTTGCACAGATGTATACGAGTCAATTAGACATTCATAATACCGCTCGCAGTGTGTAGCCACGCGTTGCGTTTACTATTGTTTACATTGTATACATCGCACACTTTCCGGTAAACTGTTTTTCTTCATAGTGTTACATTCGAAATTACCGTGTATTTAGCGGTTTTCTTTGGATTTTTTTTACTGATGTTACGATGGCACCTGCTGGAAAACGTCAACGTGTGTTTAGTGTAGAGGAGGCTCGAGATCTTGTTACTATGGAAGCATGGAGCATGGACTCTGATTCCGACGAATCGAGCAGTGACGAAGACTCTAGTGATAAAAGTGTTCCCTGAGAGTAGACTGATAGAATAAGAATGAATAAAAATTAATGAAAGAGCTAGAGATGACAGCAAGAAAGAGAGTAGACTGATAGAATAAGAATGAATAAAAAAAATGAAAGAAGGAGATAGAGATGACAGCAAGAAAGAGAGTAGACAGTGATAGAATAAGAATGAATAAAAATAATGAAAGAAAGAGATAGAGATGACAGCAAGAAAGAGAGTAGACTGATAGAATAAGAATGAATAAAAATTAATGAAAGAGCTAGAGATGACAGCAAGAAAGAGAGTAGACAGTGATAGAATAAGAATGAATAAAACTAATGAAAGAAAGATGTATCCTGTCTTGCCGTCATCTTTATATCTTTCTTTTATTATCTTTATTCATTCTTATGCTATCAGTGTTTACTCTCTTTCTTTCCGTCATCTCTATCTTATTATTATTATCATTTTCCTATCTATATGTACCCTATGTCTTGCCGTCATCTGTATATCTTTTTCTTATTATCTTTATTCATTATTATGCTATGAGTGTAATACTCTCTTTCTTGCCGTCATCTCTATCTCATTATTATTATCATTTTCCTATCTATATGTACCCTATGTCTTGCCGTCATCTCTATATCTTTCTCTTATTATCTTTATTCATTCTTATGCTATCAGTGTTTACTCTCTTTCTTTCCGTCATCTCTATCTTATTATTATTATCATTTTCCTATCTATAATTATGTACCCTATGTCTTGCCGTCATCTCTATATCTTTCTCTTATTATCTTTATTCATTCTTATGCTATCAGTGTTTACTCTCTTTCTTTCCGTCATCTCTATCTTATTATTATTATCATTTTCCTATCTATATGTACCCTATGTCTTGCCGTCATCTGTATATCTTTTTCTTATTATCTTTATTCATTCTTATGCTATGAGTGTAATACTCTCTTTCTTGCCGTCATCTCTATCTCATTATTATTATTATTTTCCTATCAATATGTATCCTATGTCTTGCCGTCATCTCTATATATTTCTCTTATTATCTTTATTCATTCTTGTGCTATCAGTGTTTACTCTCTTTCTTTCCGTCATCTCTATCTTTTTATTATTATCATTTTCCTATCTATATGTACCCTATGTCTTGCCGTCATCTCTATTTCTTTCTCTTATTATCTTTATTCATTCTTATGCTATCAGTGTTTACTCTCTTTCTTTCCGTCATCTCTATCTTATTATTATTATCATTTTCCTATCTATATGTACCCTATGTCTTGCCGTCATCTCTATATCTTTCTCTTATTATCTTTATTCATTCTTATGCTATCAGTGTTTACTCTCTTTCTTTCCGTCATCTCTATCTCATTATTATTGTTATTTTCGTATCAATATGTATCCTGTCTTGCCGTCATCTTTATCTCTTTCTCTTATAATCTTTATTCACAGTAAAGTCCTTTCATTTCATATCACTATTTCTCTCTCATAATGTCTCTCACGTCCGTTCTCCATATTTTATTCATTGCATACTCCACTCGTCAATCATTTCTGATAATAAGCTCTCTCACAATAAAGTAAATGGAAAACAATGCAATATAGTTTATATTTTAAGATTGATTCATTCTTTCTTTGTATATCTATGGCTGTGATAAACGTACTTGAAATCAATTTTATTGAGGGGTAAAGAAGGTGAGAGAACAGATGCGGTGAACATTCATAATGAGACATTTCAATAAGATGCTGATTATGTCATGTATATCACATATAATATATTATGCCTATACCATTTTTACATGCTCATACCAGTGGGCAAAATCAATAACATTCTCTTATTTCTTATTGACTTATCATGGCACAACAAAGAAAAACATCCCCACGACGTCCCTTTTCATGCCCCGCTAAACCGGACATTGACAATAACCTGGGGTAATAGGGATTTCAATGGGCAGATTAGCCCATTGTCAAGGGTGGCTGAGAGGGGTACTTTCAAGTCTCTCCCTATTGAACTTCTTTTCTTCAACAACCTAAATACTAACCTTCTGAATTGTTAGAATACTTGAGCAAGGTATGTAAAGAAAGGTAAGAAGTCCACCTTTCTAATAGATTCGATTTGAAGATGTCTTATCATTGCTAAATAAGAAATTCTAGAGGGATAAAAAACTGCCGTAAATAAGAAAAATTAAACATTATATAATTATGATTATTATAAAAATGATAATTCAAAATATAACAAATGACGGTTCATCGAAAAGCACGTTTTCCGGTCTACAACTTTGCTGCACAATATTTTTCATCATGATCATCCAGTGAAGAGTTATAGCCTCTTGATTCAGCAGAGTCAATAAAGATTCCCTCGAAATGTGTGACCCTAAAAGAATGTGGCACAGGGGGGTTTTTTAAGTGGCGCATAAAGAGTTAATGCTCAGATGTATTCATATTTGATGTAAACATAGCAAATTAATGATAATAAAGTTATATGTATGAAATCCCACGGTCATACGAATCATAGTTTTCGAGATACAAGCAAAATCCCCCCCCCTTATAACACCTGTCTGTATGTGAGAATAAACACCCTGCTGAACATTTATTATTATTTTTGCTCTAAAAGTCAAGAAAAGGGGACCAGAATTGCATATAATTTTCAGGATAGCTCTAAAATAACATTTCCTTTCCTGTCAAAGTGATATTTCACATAGTTAAAAGTATGATTTACAAAAGGGCTACAGTCCCCAGTTAATCCTAAACCTTTCAATGCTCACTATTTAATAGAAAAGCTCGCATTGTCCTGCACGCAGCTGATGGAGGCTTCCCTGTATCAATCTTGTAGACTGTCTCAACCAGGAATTGAAATACATGAGACAGCTCCCATGGAAAGTCACACCAAAGGACGTACATTGCCTTTACCACCATGTCAACTGCGTGCAAGACAGATTTACACTGTGCAGCCTGTCTTTCAAACACAACGAAGGACTGCTCACATGTCGCCCCACTACCAAACATAAGGGCAAATGGCTGATTCTGCTGTAGAATTTCTAGGTAGTGTGGAATGTTGGTGCCCACCTTTACAAAAGAAAAACAAAGCAAAGAAACATTCACATTAATTTAATAGCAGCTGCATTATATGCAATCAATTGTCTGTTTCAAATGGTATGCCTTAATTAATTATAATCCCACAAAAAATATCCTCATTACATGTACCTCTGACGAGTCTTCCTCCCTGTTGCTACCTCCAATGAGTAATAGATTAATTCAGTAAGTCAGAATTGCAATCATTCCTGCTTTAGAAATTCCAAGGTAACGGTGATGCACAATTCAAGGATGCCAGTTAGAATTGATCAGAGGGCCTGATAATCACCTAGAATGAGCTATTTTATACACAAACAAACATAAACTATGGTCTGAAAATAAATCGCCAGGGCCTGAAAACTGGCATCCCTGACAATTAGAAATACTTGGATTTATTAAATATTAAAAAAAAAAAAAAAGAATAACAAAATGAAGTTGGCAATGCAACAGTTACACCAGGCCAACGTATATAATCAATGCATATCTTTCTGCCAGAATGATTTTCAAAAAACTTTGGCAAAGGTTAAGAGTCAAAAATATATTTTCAGAATCGATGTTCTTAATAATTCTTCATAACATGATAGCCATTCACTGACAGAATTGATAGAATAGAGCATAGGATACCAAGTAGAATTGGCTCAATTGTGACAATCTATGAGTGTATACATGTATGAAAAGACCACTCCTTCTAAGCTAAAGTTTGAATTTGATATATTCAATATTCATGAAATGTATACCAAATGAAAGATTCACAGTTGGCTGAGGGCAATCTCAATCCACAAAGACAAGGCACCAAAAGCAGTACTGGATAGGAGTTAATTAATGTGTCTGGGTGAAAACCCATTTGCGCCAACATCAACCATGCTTTCCCTGATTTGGATTCACTGCACAATGAGCAAGAAAGCCTTTTGTAATATGATAATTGAGTTGTTCCAAATCAGTTTCAGCATGTAATCATATGACTTGGCGCGAATGGGTTTTGACTCTTTTCAAACAATGGCTGGTGTGCGCTCAACTTAACAGCAAAATTGAAGAAAAAAATTACCAAACAACATAGGAGTCAATGCTTTATCCATACATTCTAAAAAAACACTATGTTCAGAGATGCCAACCTCTTGACACCAAAAACCAGACTGAGTATCCTAAAAAATCAGATTTAGGAGAGAAAAATCAGATTTTCACGAAAACTTGACACTACCAATGGCCGGTTGGCCCCAGGCCAGTAAAATTTCAGAAAAATGTGATACTGGTAGTACGTACAGTCAAGTAAAATGTTTGCTCTTTCATTAAAATTTTAAAATAAAATTGTAAAGCAAAGATAAAACAATTGTACTTACAATACTGGTTTCAAATCAATGAAAGCTCACCTTGCATCATCAACGACAGCCCGTGTGGTCCTGCCTTTGCCCGTCTTTCTGGTTCCCATTGGCAAAATGAAAGGGAGTGCCAGCAGAGCAGCTGTTGTCACTTCATCATCTATTAAGCAAAATACAAATAATATCTTCATCGACAGCTACAAGACAGGTTAGAGAGAACGATAATGTATATATCTACTATGGATGGGACAGTGTTAGAGGTGAAAGAGGACTTCAAATACCTATGATCAGGGCTCAAAATAATTTTTTGTCCACGGGGGCTCTTCCAAAATAACGGGGGCTCTTTTAGTACTGACGGGGGCTTTTTTTAAACACAAATTTACATTGAATTGGAGTGATTACATGAGGAATGCTGATAGTCCAATAGCCTGCATTAAAACCGTAACAAATACGGCGAAACCGTAACGGTTGGTATCTCTGCTCTTCACACACATACTAAATTCATTGCGACAGCACACGTAGTTGTTTCGCAATAGACTTCTACATATGGCTATGTACGTTAGCGCATGTTTTTAAAGCACGTAGATCTAGATCTAGACTACAAATTAAAATTACAAGACTCGTTGGCCCGAATTCACAAAGGAGGTTTGTCGACAAACCTTGGTTTTCGTACGTCATATGACGCGTTTTTACACGTTTTTTTACAAACCTGGTTTGTAAAGAACAAAAGGAGGTTTGGCGAAACAAAAATTCGGGCCTTTAAGTTTGCACAAATCGATCCGAGACTATTATACTATAGGCCTACTCAGCTCAGTACGTTTTACTGTGTTAGGGCTAAGTTCACATCTAGCGTAGACGGCTAACATTGTCAAACAAACGACAAAGTTACTCTTACAGTAGGCCTACGGCAGACAATTAGCCCTTATAGTTATAGTAATAGTTCAACTAGATCATGGGGTTTTAAGGTGTGATACTCACCTAAGAAAGCGTCCTTGAACTCCTCCAGTCCACATTCCTCCAACAAATTGCAAACAAATTTGTCCATTGTACCGTACCGCGTCGATCAAGATGCCAGCGCTTTCAGATCAGACGTGTATAGGCTAGCGCCGCGCCTAGTATAATAGTGCGTGCAGCTAGCTAGCTCGCGCTCGCTCGCTCAGAGAAAAAGTCTAAATTCGATATTCGCGGGCGCGCACAAAATTAGGACGCCGATACGTCATGGGACACGTGACTAGTATTGACTATTTACATTGCGGATATATCAGGTACTCGGTGCGGAGTCAATCTGGCGGCACCGTGGGCCGAAGACTCAGAACGGAGGTGGCCCTATCTAACCCAGTTTCGAGTCAGAATCACCCGAAATGGAGTGAAAAAACACTGACTCGGATCTGGAGTCACATTTTTGACTCGGCAGGAATAAGAGTGTAATCGTGGACGTTCTCGTCCACTCAATCTAAAAAGTCCCTAATGTTTTATCACTATTGTCCAGCTATAGCCAGATGTTATCATCCAGGCGCGGATTAACGCTGCCTAACACGAATCACCCAAAGTCTGTGATCAGTTTATCATGTTGTATAATAGCAAACACAAATTGATCACTTTCTAAAGGTGTCAAAGCAAAGTCTTAGATTGCTGACTAGTCACTATGGTTTATCAAACGCATCTCAAAGATAAGGAAATGGTTCAAGGAATTGTCCTGATATTATACAATTTAATAAAGGGAATCAGTATAATTGGCAATGTTTCAAAAATGAAATATAAAATACACGATTAAAGAAAACACACATTTTCAGAAGAGTGATGCTTTTGTTATGTATGTGAATATAGTTCAAGATGTATAGGGGACAAGTTCATATCAACAAGGCAATTTAATCCATATTTTTCTATACAAATGATTTCCTATTCACATACCTTTTAAAATTGCAAGAGCAAAACTATTGGTACTTCCAGTGAGCATATGAAGATAAGTTTTCATGTTTAAACATCTTATTCCATCGATATATAAATTATTGAGTACAAGTCTATATAAAAAGCCATAGCTTCCCATGTTAACTATTTAACATTTAACAAATATTGATTATGCTGTCTGCGATGCCTTTCCAGTACCAACTGTGATCCAGCAAGGGTTTCAGCTAGTCCCTTAGTTATGGACTTTGAAAATATATGTTCTATTTCCTGGATATCATGCCACTGCCATGCAGGTGACAGACACATTTATTTGTCTTTCAGACCAAATGTATTTGCCAAAGAGAAAATCATTCCAAAACAAAAGAATGTTTCAATTATAGTAACTATGTTGTGGATTGAGGATTTTAAACAAATTCATGCATAATGACGAAACCCTTGTTGCCAATTGGTACTTCACAATTATCCAAACTCATTTTCTGCGCTTTAAATATATATATATATATATATATATATATATATATATTATTATTATTATTATTATTTATCATATCATTTAAAATCTCCTGTTTTACGTCTACGTACAGTCATCCCAGATCCACCTTCTGGATTCTTCGTCGACCAAATCCAGACGACATCTTCAACATTCTTCGTTGCTTGGCTACCAGGATTCGATTGCGGGTTGCAACAAACGTTCAATCTGAAATACTGTCCAAGCGACCCGCACGTAGAGAAAGAGGGGTGTGGTGTTGTCAAAAACCTGCTAGGGACATCCTACACATTGGTTGGACTTAAACAATTCACTTGGTACCGGATGACTCTATGGGCAGTGAACAGCGCGGGGAATAGTAGCGCAGTGGTAACATCAGCTTCAACACCTCGTAAGTTTCGTAATAACGAGATTTTTTAAAATATAAAATACGTTTGAATTGTAATCATCAACAAAAGCTAACACACATGTTTCTCGTTATTGAACGTATTCTTTTGGAATTTGCTGTCATTTGCCGTTTTAAATGCAAGCGATTCAATATTCAGTAGTTTCAGGTATTCTTGGGTTTCTGATGCTAAAAGCGTTATCCTATTAAAAAAAATGTTACATTCCTTGTTACTAAAAGCAGGCACGTAGCCAAAGTTTGATGTTGGGGGGGGGGGGGGGGGGGTTGCACATATATATAATCGATCGAGGTCTAAACAAGTTCAACCGATCTTGTAAATCTTTTGGGGGCACGTGCCCTCCCCCCCCCCCCCCCCCCCCCCCCCCCCCCCCCCCCCCCCCCCCCCCCCCGTGGCTACGTGCTTGACTAAAAGCCTTCTTCTTGATGTACATTTTACTTAATCAGTAGATATCTTTCTTCTTTTTCTTTAAATCAATTTTCTCTAGGGCGTTTAACAATTCGAACACAATAATCAATAGTCATGATAGTCACTTTTTTATTGGGCTTTCCTGCAGTCTAGATTAATCGATTCAGTAGAAATTGCATAACATTTCCCCGTATCTCTCTTTGTCTAAAGTTTAGTCTTTAGTAAGACCCCACTAACTCGTCTTCTAAATGAGAATTTCTTTTAAAATCAATTACAGATTACATTTTACTCAAAACTGAAGACAAAAAGAAAACAAAGAATATATATTTATTGGTAACAAATGTATGAGCTAAACTACAGAGAATGTATCAAATCTTGACCCAGAAATGTAGAGTTATTCTTTAATAGTATTATATCTTAACTGTTTATATTCAGTTGTAGGTGTTTATGTTTGCTAATGCTGCATCTAATGGTGATGGTCAGGAAAGGAATAGTGCATAAAAAATAAGCTTTCTACAGTGTTACCCTATCCAGTTCTTTTATACTATACCTGATATTTAATAATTTGAGTGTGTTAAGCAATCACTTAACATTAAAATAAAGACAACTTTTCAATTGATGAAAACTCACCCCGTCTAGTTTATTCTATAATGTATACTTTGAGTGTAAGCAATTATTATAAGATGATGACGTGTATCCTAATCAAAATGATTTGTTGAAAGCGTATACTTGACCAGGCATTTATTTTGCCTAACCCGTAATCGCGCGTAATTTGGGTAATGACAGGTGATTAGTAAAACTAGTTATAATACATCATTGTATAAAACAAATAAAACATAATCTTATAAAACAAATAATACACATCATTGTGTTCGGGCATTAGTAAAAAATAGCCACACTCGGTATCTTCAAATCAGTCCAGGCACCCCCGGCTTCAGCTTCGGGCGTGTTAGACTGTTCCAAAGGTATCTTGCGTGGGTAATTCTTACTAATGCCCTCACTACTGTGTATTATTTGTATATATACTAAACAATAAAATACAGACAACTTTTCATTTGATGAAAGACACTTTTCTGAGTTATTTATAAACATTTCATTTTAAATCGATACATTACATAACATAACCTTGAGAGATGAAAAACCACTTTTCAAACGCCATTGAATAATAGCTTTGTTTCTTTTCTTCTTCTTTATACTTCCTTGTTTTGGCCTTATACAGCATTGCAACCAGAGACCTATGGTAAGGATGAAAGCTTTATCATTAAGACAAATCCCTTTTGTGTTTTTGTTTGTTTGGTTGGTTGGCTGTGAGAGGAAACTGTTTCTTACTCATTGCTTTTGTTCGTATTTAATATATGTGGGATAGAACATCCTGATCAGCACAACCTTTTTTGTAGAAAGGGGTCCCCTGGGGATCAACAACATAAATTCTGTGTACAAATCTTCTTTCTTAGGTCCAGTGAAAGGAATATGTTTAAGTTTTCATTTGAATCAGTCAACTGAATTGCACAATTTTAGTCTCTGTCATGCAATCATTACAAACATTAAAAATAGCTAGTTCTAACATGTTTAACAAATTTTAACTGGGCAGAAATTAAAAGAGGGGTGCTTAAACGGAGCAAACAGAACAACGTTTCCCTCAATAAGCTTAACACTTATGTGTCTAGTAATTTAAATATTGTGTGTTCACAAATCAAATTAAATGATTTACAAAATACATAACACATTGAAGTCTGGTGTGAATTAAATTACCCCACTCTATGTCTCTCTCTAGTAATAGTAATACCAACATAGCTTTCTTCTGTTTTTTTTTTCTTTGTTTTTTTCGTCATATAGGCATAACATCCGGCTGGGATAAACAGAAACATATCTTAACATTGTCAAAGGCAAACCAATCTCACGAAGAAATCTGCTTCATCACACTGAGGACTTACAGCGGGCCAGACTGTGCCTCTGTGAATAGATCAGAGTGCGTTGTACCGGGCACAGAGGTCAGCGTTGGCCCGTATGATGACACAGTTGTGGTGACCTTTGGAAGGGGACTATGCAGTACACCAGCTAATCTAACAGGTTAAGCTATCATTATCCTTCCTTTTTTTAATTGTTCATAAGAAAATGAGACTATTTGTAGATTACCTCCAGAAAGATTTCAAGATCATGATGAATACGAGGTTTCGAAACATACAAGATATTTTTTAAGTGGCCAAAAAATCAGAGGTCCTCGAATTAAACAGAATACTCATCATAACATGCTTACTTAATAATTGTTTAAGGTATTATGTTAAGTATACATTGAAACATAAAGTCGATATCCCTACATGTAATCTACATAACGATAAATGAGCATGGGACAGAAAGAGTTAACGTTTGGCTGTATGTGTGTGCGTGGGTGGGTGGATGAACATGAACGTACCTTTGTGTTTGGGCATTTGTACATGTCTGTGTGCGTACGTGTGTCGTGTAGATTAGTGTGGGTGTGGATTATATTCACATGTTTGTGTGTGGGTGGATCCATGTGTGGTTTGGCTCACATTAGCTTTAAGATTCTAATATTACATGCATTAGAGTATAAATGAAGTCCCATGTCTTGAGTGTATTTATGTGTTAGGGAGGATAAACATGCATGTATACAGTGGTGTGTGTGTGTGTGTGTGTGTGTGTGTGTGAAGATACATGGGGACGTGTGTGGATTAATATGTGTGTTTGGGTTTCCTAGTATTAATATATATTCACTCTGTCAAACACAACACATCCTCCTATATGGCTTCGTATAACGCTCTTTGAAACACAAAGGATATAGAGTTGTGAACGAAACATGCATACATGAACCAAGGATATAACTAAATTTGCCATTAAACCAAAAATATCCTACAAAACTGTTTAGAAAACCAATAA